GCGCCAGAATCCAAAGTTTCCCTGCTGAGGTCTGAGAGTCACTACAGGGGAATGGTTTCCACTCTGGCAATGAGCTTGACCCCCTGTGGGTTTCAGTACTTGCTTCAAATTCCATTATCCTCTCACTGAGCACTTTGGAATAAAGAAATAGATGGGTGTATGGGAGGGGACTGTCCTTATCATGTTCTGTGTTTTAAAACATTTCTATTGATGTGTGTGTACATGCACACGTGCACACTCCACAGCATTCAAGCAGAGGGCAAAGGGCAACTTTCGGAAGTTGGTTCATTTTTTCCCACCATATAGAAAGTTCATCTTGGATCACGTTTTCAGACTTGGATTTTACTGTCCTGTTATCACATTCTTCGTGTTGCTGTGGGAGTGAGAATGTGTCTGTCTCTGTGACTCTTAGATAAACAGCTCTTTAAGCAGCGAGGCAGGTCTACCAGCTCTCATAAAACCAGCCTTGTCATCGGTCCCAGCACAGGTGAACTACGCTTCACAGAATCCCCTGAGCTGATGTGAGGCCATGTGATTTCCTTCTGGCCAGCCGGCTGGGAGAACTAATACAGCCACTTCTAGGACTGGACCAGTGCTCTCCCATGATGCTCAGACAAAACAGTAAGGCAGGAAGATGCATGGAGACCAGCTGCCTGCCAGTCAGAAGTGCTCATCGTTGAATATCCTATATCAACACCCCCCTCTGACCAAACACACAAAAGCTACATAATGGGCAGTCCAAAGAAGACATAAAGTGCTGGAAAGCACGCTTTTCAGCTCTCTTGAATTTAGTAAACGGTGACCTCCATGTTCTGTATACTGACTAGGTAGTATGGGGCCATGGACCACAGCCAGACAAGAGAAGCTTTGCCCTGAGTGACACTATCCTCTTATGCTTTGCTCAGTGGCTGGATCTGTGATTCTCGGGCTCTTTGTCACCAGAGGTGAAGCCCGGATGAAAGGGTTGCTTGGAGATGGCCTGCAGCACACCAGTATTTTAGCCTTGGCAGGTTCTTCCACTAGATGGCACTGACAGCATTGTTTTCCCTCATTAACTTTCGTTACACAATTGTCACTTTCTGTAGGGTTGAAGGCCACAAGAGGATCTATGAATTAAACTTAAGTGGATGATGCAACATATGATCACGCTAAGAATGATCACATTTCCAAGGGCTGTCAAGTTTTCCTTCTTCTTGGGGGATGAGGGTACCCCTTGGAGAATGAGGGACTGTCCCAGGATTCTTCCTGGCCCTGTGCCTGCTAGAACACTGTCAATGAATCCTTTCTCTTTCCTTCTGTCCTGCCATTGATTCCGGGGGCACTGGACCTGGGCTTCACTATTAGGTGTCTTTCTGTTCTTTTCCGCTCTTTATGCCAGAGCTCACTCAGGCACCCTCAGAATGGCGGGGAAGCCCTACCTGTACAGACAACCCTCTCCTTCCCAGCCTTTGGTCTATCCACTTCAATGTTGGGAGACACCAACATGGACCCTCCTGGCCACGCTTCCTACTTCTACCCCCAGGCAACTGACCTCAACTTAGTAAGTAAACAAACTATTTACCTCGTCTTGAGCTCAGGATGGCAATGTCTTCTGAGTTTTTAAGGGCAGAGGCTGTGCCCTGCTCTCCCCAGGGGCCCTGGAGGCCAGCTCAAGATCAGGGACATACCAGCGGCTACTGAGTTTTGAGTAAGAAGGTTCACTGAGCATTTTTTAGTTGCTGTTGTGGTTTAAGGTGGGGTTACTCAACCCTTCTTTTTTCACCCCTTCCTTCCTTGTCCATGCTGGCCTCAAAATTGCAATCCTCCTGCCTCAGCTTTGTCATAGCTGCTGCTACAGTACTTATTGCCATTCTGGGCCCCACCCTTATTACTACCATCATTATTCCTTTTCTTTTTTATTTATTTTTATTTTTTTTAACAATTTATTTATTAATTATGTATACAGTGCTCTGTCTGCGTGTATCCCTGCAGGCCAGAAGAGGGCACCAGATCTCATTACAGATGGTTGTGAGCCAACATGTGGTTGCTGGGAATTGAACTCAGGACCTTTGGAAGAGCAGCCAGTGCTCTTAACCTCTGAGCCATCTCTCCAGCCCCCATTATTCCTTTTCTAGCTTCAGCAAGGCCCCTGGCCAGAGCCTCAGTTGGGAACTGTGGTCACGTAGAGCTCAGCCTGGGGCAGGCTGACCTAGGGGGTCCAGGCTCCCCTTCCGCCAGCTGTGTGACCTCAGGGCGGTTCACCTAGCATCTCTAGGCTGCCACATTTCCATGGGCTATAAAGGGAGTGGAACATTTCCAGCTGTAGCCAGAACTTCCTGAGCCCCTTCGGACCAGGTTGGTAGGAAGTCCCAAGATTGCAGAGCCCCGGAAAGAGTTGGGGAGAAGGCGAGTTACCCCAGAGCCCTGACCGGCACCGGTGCTGCGTCCTCTCTGCACATGGGTGTGCAGTCCTCGGAGGCCGAGCCGTCCCTTGTCCACCCCTCTGCCTTCCCGGAGTGGCCTCAGCACCTGCTGCTTCTACCTGAGATCTTAGGAGGAGCTGCCTGATAAAGGGCTGATATGGGCAGTTCTGAGAGCCACACAAATCCGGTGTTCAGTCAGGCAATAGCTTCTGTCCTGGGAAAAGGGGGTCCTTGGGCTTTCCTTCCTGAGACCATGCCCCCAAACCTCACAGCTGAAGCATCAAAGCCCCAAAGGTCAGAGGGTCAAGCGTCTGCGCTCTAGGGAGACTGAGTGTGTGGCTTGGGGATCCAGGTGGCCTGCTGTAGTTTCAGGGTCCCTACCAAATCTCGTGTTGAAATTTAACACACAGGGTGAGGTGTTACGGGGTGGGCCCCACCACAGGTCTGTCGTAAGAGCTAGTTTAGCCCTGCGTCTTGTATGTACCACTTTTACCAGGTGATGCCTTGCGTGCTTTGGAATTCTGCAGACTCCCTGTGTGTGAGAAGACCCCTTGAGCTTCAACACCTGGTTCCCAGAACCATGATCTGAACATATCTTTATTAGTTAAAATGTTTGCGTGTGTGTGTGCATGTGCATGCTTGTGTGTGCGTGTGTGTTTGTGTGTGCGCACGCACGTGCGCGCACCGGGGTGCATGTGTGTGAACTCAGGCATGAACATGCCATGGCATGCGTATGTGTGGAGGTCAGAGGACGCCTCTTGAGAGTCAGCTCTCTCCTGTCACCTGGTGAGATCTCAGGATGGAACTCACGTCATCAGGGCTGCACACAAGCACCTCTATCCACCGAACGATCTTGACAGCCCATTTTTATTCTTTATGAATCTCCCAGTCTGTGGAATTTAGTTGCAGCAACAGGAAACAGAGTAAGGCAAAGCTTCAGCTCTGCTACTAGCTGGCTGTGTGCCACGGCACAAGCTGCTGCTCTTTCTAGTTTCCAGGGTCTGCTTTTAGAAAACAGGGAGAAACACGCCCACTGCCTTAGAGAGGCATCCCGAGTATTGTGATAGACAGAACCATGGCTCACATAAATGTCCGCGCCCAAGCTGGGCGGTGGTGGCACATGCTTTAATCCCAGCTCTCAAGAAGCAGACACAGGCAGATCTCTGAGTTTGAGGCCAGCCTGGTTTACAGCGTGAGTTCCAGGATAGCCAGGGCTATACAGATACACAGAGAAACCCTGTCTCAAAAGACAAAACAAAAACAAACAAACAAAAATCCCATATGCCACAATACCCATCTGAAAAGTATATATTTGTATTTTTACTTTGTCTATTTCCCCCAGAATACCCCAGGATAATGGCCTGCAGATTTCTTAGCCTGGGTTCATGTTACCCCTTGGTAGAGAGCAAGAGCCAGGTCATTTCCTCATAGTGTTTGGGGGTGTCTACTGCACCTCTCTGTGATTGTAAATTTAATGGCTCACAGACCCTCTCATGGAGTATTGTAAACACTCAGTGTTTCCCAGAAGTGTCCTGTCCCCTCCCCTACCTCTGCAATCACTCTTCCGATCATGCTAGAGGTCTCTTTCTTCAAGTATCTGCCACTGTCCTTAAAGACCTCTGTCTACAAACATTTTGGCCCATACATAAGACAGTCCAGAAATGCCAGAGTTAACCCCCAAGGCTGTATCTCTCAATGGTTGGCTGGTGGGAGTTGGTAGGAATGTCTCCAGCCACCCATTACCCGGGAAAGGAACCTTCGAGAGGCCCATCCTTCACCACCTCAGATGGTCCCAGTGAGACAGAGCTGGGTGGCATTACATCAGTCCATTCACTAGCACACCCTGGTGGTCCTTTCCCTGCGACCTTCCTCACGCTTTAGGGGACCACTTCTAGAACACATTGCCCAGACCCTGTCTCAGGTGGAAGGTCAAGGGAAATAAAAACACTGGCAAAGTGGGCCTCGCTGTGACTGCAGGTCACCTGACAGACACATATTCAGCTCACTAAGGACCACACTGACCAACTTGGAACTGTAAAAGCCTATTCTGTTACTGCTAACGGGACAATGGGTCTGTGGGGTCCATTGTAGTACTGTAATTCTGCCTTGGGATTCCCAGTAAGTCTTATGGTGGCCTTCTGAATCGGTTCACAATAGACTGTGCTCTTATTTCTGTGTGTATGTTTGCATCTTTACCCTAAGACAGCAGTTCTCAACCTGTGGGTCACGACCTCTTTGGGAGTCAACATATCAGATATCACCCTGCATATCAGATATTTACATTATGATTCATAACAGTAGCAAAATTACAGTTATGAAGTAGAAACAAGATCATTTTATGCTTGGGAGGGGGGTCACCACAACATGAGGAAGTGTATCAAAGTGTCATTTTCTCTTATCCAAGAACTAATTATCCAAACAACAGATTGGATTTTCTTATTTCTTCCCCCAGTCTTTCGAGCTTTGGCCCAAATTTTGCCTTAGCTTGGGGACAGTGTCAGTCCTCCTGCAAGAGATAGGATTGTGGGGGCCAGAGCACAGTCATGCCCCCATGGGGCCACCACATCCCCTCAGCACACGACAGCCCCCTGGGCCTACCTGGGGTGATCTCAAACAGGTGTTTCCCTGGGTCTTCAGGGTCTGGAAGGAGTTCGGTAACTTGTGTCCCTTGTAGAGAAATAAATCCCTGAAATGGAGACAAACACAAATAAGAAACCCGAGAAGGCTGGGAAAGGTTCCTTAGAGTGGAGGGTGGAGCCAGGGCAGGGTCCAGCCCTTCTCCTGGCAAGGCAGGCTGGGTACCAGAGAGGAGTATGTGCTTCCTTTCTGGGGCACGGAACCAGGCACAGAGGATGCCCCTCCCCCAATCTGCACACACACGCAGGGTGGGAGAGGCTCTTCCAACAAAGGGTGGGCTGGGACTTCCCAGCGCAAGACAAGGCAAAGCCTGGGCCGGGATGACAGAGCTGGGCGATCCTCCATCCCTTGCCTCTCCATTCCAAAGGCTCACTGTGGTCTCCTGGGCCAGTAGGACCCCAGGTGTGGAGAGTGAGAGAGAGGAAGGCTAGTGTTCCAGAGCCCTGGAGGTGACATCGGGGATAGACAGTATCACATATCTGTGTGAATCCAATCTGCCATGTCCAGGCAGGATGAGGTTTCATTCATTTTTCTTCTTGGTTTTATTTGTGTATTCAATTTCATTATTATTATTATTGTTATTATTTTGGGGTTTTTTGAGACAGGGTTTCTCTGTGTAGTCTTGGCTGTCCTAGAACTCACTCTGTAGACCAGCCTGGCCTCAAACTTAAGAGATCCACCTGCCTCTGCCTCCAGAGTGCTGGGATTATAGGCGTGTGTCGTCACCGTGCCCAGCTCAATGAATTATTAGGAGATTTCTATTGCAGTGCTGCGGATTGAACCCAGGACCTCTCATATTATAGGCACATGCTCTCCCATTGAGCTGCATCTTCAGCCTGAGGTTTTACTTCTTTACCTACAGAATGTGAGTCACCAACATGCACAGTCACCAGCCTAGACAGTGGCATCTCTCTGTCATAGGTAAGCATAGTTGTCCCTTGGAATCCACACTGTATTGGCTCCAGGACCCCCTGGATGCCCTCTCCAAAGCTCTGTCTATATGTCTGTATAAAAGGACATTGACCCTCACTTCTCAGGAGAGTTTCGTAAGCCAGTTCTTGCTTGGTAAGTCCTCCCCAAAGAGATGAGGTGTTGCTTCCCACACCCACAGGCTAGTAAGAACCCTCTTTACCCTCCAGGGAAGTTCCTTCATGTCATGCATGCTCAGCTTTGCTTAGCTTAGACTCCATGTGGCTTGACTACCTACACTTCTATTGTCTCTATGGAAAGCCATTTTAAACTCCATTCCTGTAGTCAGCTCTCCAGGTTCAAATCTGAGCTCAGCTTCCGATAAATTGTGTCACTTCTCTGTACCTCAGTTTCTTTATCTGTGCATCTGGAGTCACACTAGTTCCTTGTAGGGTTGTTCTGAGCATAAATGGATTAGTACCTGGGATGTCCTTAGCATAGGTCCTGGCACACAGTGAGAACAAACTGTGTGTGTGATTTGTTTTGAGTCATGGTCTTACTATATAACCCTGACTGATGTGGAACTCACTATTTAGACCAGGTTGACCTTGAATTCACAGAGATCTGTCTGCCTCCTCTGTCTCCTGAGTGCCACCATTCACGGTGTGTACCACCACATGGGACTGAGAACTGTGTGTTAGCTAAGTACATCTCTCTATTGTGTCTGGACTCCACACCAGGTAAGTGGATATACCCATGAGTATGCATTTGACCAACTGAGAAGCCCATCTGCTTCACCACGTCCCGTTCCCACTCCTATGCTTGCTAGCAGACACTCTCCTCCTGGGCCAGTAACATTTTAGTGAGTCCTCACAATGCCCCCATGGGGAACTATAGTCCTGCTTCGCAGATAAGAAAGCTGGGGGGACAGAAAGGAGAAGCATTAGCCTGCAGCTGAGTCAGGCCTTTTCTGGCAGATTCTGACCATAGAAGGGTAATGGGAGCCTTATGTCTGCTGGCATTGGTGCTTCGGGGACATTTGGAAATGCTTCTTCTCATGCAAGCAACATCAAGGCAGAATGCTATCTGTACCCACAGATGCTTGCTCTAGGGAAATTATAGCCATAAGCCAGGGATCCAGCTGGTAATGGCTGTAACTGAATTACTGGTTGTGTTCTTGCTAGGGAACCTGGAGCTACAGGGAATAAATTAGGACAGCCGCCCCAGGATGCGGGAACATGCTCATTAGAGGGCGTGTGCGAGGTCCATCACTGCGTCTCGGCACTTGCTGTTTCCGTAACCGACTCTAATGGGGTACTTTGCTGTGTTTTCCCTCTGCCTCAATAACTGTCACCCACACAATGTGAGTAACAACATCTTCACTGACATTACCTTCCACTGAAGCTAAGGGAAAAAGCAGAAATAGCTTCTGTTGTGGGAACTGGTACTATGTTCCTGGCTCTTAAACCTACAGGACTGATTTGATCACGAGCACTATGAGGCAGGTGCTGCTGATGCTATCTCCTTGCACTAGAGGATAGAGGTGGGGGAGGCCAAGTTCAGGCTCCCCTCTCTGCTGCTAGCAGGGTGAGCTGGGATATGAGTTCCCACCTGCCCACTCTGCTCCCCACCTTTGTGACAGAAGTCTCCCACCAGCTCAGCTTGCTTCCAGAAGGGGACTCTGGGATCTATGAGTCCCTTTGTACTCCAGTGAATCCCTGTGTGGCCCCATTACTGCAAGGGACCTTGGCACCAACCTGTGGCTTTACTCAGTACTGAATCCCCAACCTTCCCAAAAGTCAAGAGTGAAGCTTTAATCTGAGGCTGTTGGGGTTAGGTGGGGCAGGGTGTGGTGGTCCTAGGAAGACTGCTCTCCTGGTTGGTTGGGCAGTCTGATGTGTGTTAACACTGTAGTGAAAGTACTTGTAAGGAGTCCACCAAACATCCCATGTAAGCCTGAGCTTGTCTCCCAAGCCACCCCAGAGCTTGTTAGAACACATAGGTCTGGGCTTGTGTGGCTTGTCAATAAGGAAGACAAAGCCCCAGTTTACGTGTTTGCCATCCTCTGTAGGACGCAGGTCTCCTTCCTTCGTGGCCAGGTTCATGAGGTCACTGAGTGTGGAGTTGGGACGAGATTCAGTGTAGTGTTTGCCACACAGCTGGTCACCTCAGAGGACAGTCAATGATGCCAGTTGAGGAAAGGTACAGGTGTGTCTGAGTTCTTACCTTCGCTTTTACTACAGCTGACTGAACTGTGGGCCCGGGGCGAATGAGTTGCTCATCGTGGGCCTGTCTGTTCAGAGCAGCACTGGACTCCATCCTGGAGTTTTGAATTCCACAGTTCTGGGTAAAGTAACTGAATTTGCATTTCTGCTTAATTTTCTCATGCTGGCGGCCCCAGGAACACACTTTGAGACCTGCTAGCCTAGAGCAGTCAAGGGTTGGTGCTTTTCCTCTGAGTTCAGCCCTCACCTAAATTTGCCTCCCTGTAGAATAATAACATTGATTCCACAGGGCCACCGTGACAAGACAATGGCTTATGATCTGCTCCAGAGAGTGGGGCCGTGTTTGAAATCCTGTCCCTGAACACGCAGGTCTTAGGGGCAATGAGTATCTGCTTCTGTCCTCTCAGACAACACCCCAACCACAAAGGTCCTGGGAGTTTCTTGGGGGGAGTGTCCAAAATAGACATTAACAGGATCCAACTGGCTTTCTTATAATAGGGTGGGGCCAGGGCTTGGACACTTTGGCTCTGGAAGGGGCCAAGCTCATAGTCTGCACTATAATGGCACAGTTTGTTGAAAGTCTTATGGGCACACAGAGAGAGCACACAAGCTCTAAGGCTTTATCTCCTTTCCTCAGGTCTGAACTCATGGGCGTTGGCTGTTGTGCATTTGCTCAGCCTGCGTGCCTGAGCTCATCCCTAGAAGTTGCAACTGACCTTGCTCATCTCTAGCTCCATGTCTCCATAGTCGATTGGTACAGATGGCTCATGAGTTAAGAACACAGCATTCTTTCTCCAGCAGGGCCCCACAGCCAGGATTGCTGCTGTCTCCACCACAGTGCCTGTCTCAGCTCCCCCAGCTTCCAGGGAGACCTGCCCCAGCACCCAGAACACCTGACCACAAATTCTAGAAACTGCATGCAGAGAACAGAGCTCTGGTAAAAGGACAGGACAAGAGGGGTTTTGGGGAGAGAGTATACTCAAAGACAGTAGCAAATTAAAATGCTTACTTAAAAATCATCATCTACTCAGGCATGGTAGTGTATGCCTTTAATCCCAGAACTTGGGAGGCAGAGGCAGGCAGATATCTGTTAGTTCAAGGCCAGCCTGATATACATAGTGAGTTCCAGGACAGTCAGGAATACATAGAGACTCAAAATAAATGAATGAATGAATGAATAGTAAAAATCCATCATTTATATGACATATTAAATGCGAATTCCAGAAGCTCCTTAGGCTGAAGAAAAGTGATTTAGCGACTAACCTCACTCCATCTCATGTGCCTAAACCTCACCATGGGTAACTTAGGGTACAGTGTGACCCTTAGGGGTTGTTTGAAATTCTGAAAGTCCACTACTCCAGGTTCTGTGCACATTGTTTATCTACTGCTACCCAATATACCCAAAACTCAGCCTAAAACCACCGTCTTATTTTGTCAGACAGCTTCTGTAGGGCAGGAATTTGGAAATGGAGTAGTTGAATAGTCCCGAGACTTTATAAGGAGACAGTTAAATACAGAAACCCGAAAGCTTGAAGAAGACCAGAGATATGTTTTCAAGTTGGCTCACTCAATGGGAGCTATAAAACAGAGTCAGAATCCTGAGGCGCAAAGCAGTGTGTGAGAGACAAATCCAGCTGGGAGGATTAACTACATAATAAACTCTGCAGTGGAAACATACTTAGAGAGCTTGAAGACAGGAACCCGGAGAAAAGATACTTTTTTAAAAAGATTTGTTTATTTATTATGTAGTGTTTTGTCTGCACACCAGAAGAGGGTACCAGATCTCATTCTAGGTGGTTGTGAGCCATCACGTGATAGCTGGGAACTGAACTCAGGACCTCTGGAAGAGCAGCTAGTGCTCTTAACCTCTGAGCCATGTCTCCAGCCCCCAGAGAGAAAAGATAATTTTAAAAAA